GCCTGAAACTCTCAGACTGAAGAAGTCTCTTGGAGGAGAGACGAAACGTTTCATTAGAGAAGAACCCGTCCAGAAGACCTATACTATTTTTTTCTTTTAAAAGTAAAAATGTACGCTGAAAAATTATTACTCAAGTAAAATACAGATACACAAAGTTCTAAGTACAGTAAAGAAGTATTTGTACTTAGTTACTTCACAGCTCTGTCCCTGACCCCCCATGGGGACAGTAGGTTTAAGTTTCCAGAAGTACCTGTTGGTCTCCTCACACTCTGTGTTTTCTTCTTTCACACATCATATGATGACTGATTTATTAGTGAACACAAAGTGAACAACTTTTTATGTCAAATCAAACTGATTGTGACACAGCCAGACTTTTATTTTGAAGGCCTCTTGTTTACTGCTGACCCTCTGACTGAACGATCAGAGATGACAAAGGAATGTATGGAGGCGGCCATGATGGAAACAAAAGTTCATCTGTGCCCTCTAAGGTCAAATCTARTTTTTATCATGAACACACTCAGATTACTGAGTCATTATACAAAAACATGGACCAATCGATTGATCTGTTGGTTTTTAACTCTGAACAACAAAAACTGTTTTCTGACAGTTCAATGTTTTAATATTATTTAGTTTAATTCGTTTTTCATCAGGTGTTTCAGGACTTTATGAATTTATTATAAAGTTCAGCTTCTTAATGTTTGCAGGAAACAGCTGGACCTTTACTTACTGCAACATCATGTCTCTTTTAAACTTTTACAGATTTAAACTGATTTAAAAAAGTCTTTTATCTGTGCTTTCAGCCCAGATGAAGAGCAGAAATAAATAAAGTCAGCTGTAACCATGGTAACACTGCTCATTTTAATCTAAAGTCCAAACAGCTGCTTGTGTAAAACAACCTGATCTCAGGTCAGATGTAGAACAAACAGTTTATAAAACAGCTTCAGTTTGTGTTAAAAGACAAACAGAAACATTTGTGAAASCTGAGGTTAGAAAGGAGCAGCTGACAGAAGCAGAGGATCCTCAGGTGTCTCAGGTGTGACACTCACCTGTGTGAACAGAACGTGACAGCTCCTCAGCAGCTCCAGCTCTGCGGACAAACAGCAGAACAGCTGAGAGAGGCCGTGAAGCCCCGCCCACCTCTTTAAACCTGCCTCCTGCTGGTGAACACCTGGTGGACGTGCTGCCCCCTGGTGGCTGACAGGAGAACAGCAGGACCTGTCCTCTTCAGCCCCATGGCCCCGGTCCTGGGGGCAAAACAACTTTTATKTTTTTTATTTCCTTTAACTTCAGATGTGTCAGCTGATCCTGGACATGTTTGATTTCAAAATAAACCTCAGAGTCTGGACTAAAAGCCAAGATTTTTACTTTCAAACAGTTCAAACATCAAGAAGCTGAATCAGAAAGTAAACAAACTGTATAAAATGTTACAACTATTGTATAAATACATAATGTGTAAAGGAAAAAATGACATTATTTTTTAAAACAAGTCAAAGCAGATTCCTAAATATTTTATAAAGTTTGTTGAAAGTTTTTTTCACTTCATTTAGAGTGAATC